GATGTGCAGCATTACGGGTCGAGAGAGTATTGTAACACTATCAAGAAATCAATTAAGAAGTTCAGATAAAGGCTACAACCATTGAAATCAAGACCGCCAGAGAGAAGGTGAAAGTAACTTCAGCTTAGTCACCTCCCAAAAATCAAATATTGGCAGCGAACTCCCCTGTCATAGTCACTGAAAAAAGAAGATTCGTGGAGAATAGGGAACTCGAAGGAACAGGAAAATAGGGAGCTTTCCTTGCAAAAGTCAGGAACAGAAAAGGATATAGGTAACTAAACCATAAATCAGCTTGGAAAACCACTCTGCATGGAAAACACACAAGTAATTCAGGAGCGAGAGGATAATCCTGCTATCGCTGTACGGTCGCAAAGGAAAACATACCCAAATTAATGATGAAAAGGGTGAAGCTCTTGTCGTCACATTGGCGAGGGAATACTATGTCAGTAGTCAGTAAACCATCTACAAAGAGAGACTGAAGGAACAACTGACCCACAACTTGATCAGCGATAATGAAACTATAAATAAAATATACGATACATTAGCGCAAATCATGGTTAGGGTGGGAAAAAAAATCGCACAAAAAGATAAAAAGAAGGAAGATTGCATACCAGAAGAGACAAAGAAACTCATGGAAAGAAGGCGGAAACTGAACGAAGAAGGGAAAAGGAAATCGATAGAATACACAGAAATCAATAGGACCATCAGGAAAATGATAAAAGAAAACAAAAGGAAGAGCCAATAAGAAATAGAAATAGAAAAAGTCATAGAGAATAACAGGAATATGAAACGCTTAAGACCGACACTAGGAAGATATGAAATAAATAAAATAAAAGACAAGAACGGCGTAGAAACTAATATCAAGGATTAGTTTTTTCTTTTATACAGAATTATGTCAAACAAAAAAGGAACTAGCAGAAGAAATCGTAAAAAGACTACAAACTAGAATAAAGACTCATAACTACAACCCGAAATAAGCAAATCGGAAATAAAGAGGGCTCTGAAAGAAATGAAAAACAGCAAAGTACCTGGAAAAGACGGAGTCACTGATAGAAAAGAAAATCCCAAACAACTGGAATTAATCAATAACCATCATCCTTCATAAGAAAGGTGATGAAAGAACGAGCTAACGAATATCACATCCCACTATATATTGCATTTATCGACTTGGAAAAGGCTTTTGATAGTGTTGAACACTGGGCAGTAAAAATCTTATTAATTAATATATCAGAATTGACTACAGATACACAGACCTAATAACCAATAACATATATACCGAAGCAACAACAACTGTTAAAATTCACGAGGAGACAAAACCAATACCCATAGGAAGAGGTGTCAGACAGGGCGACACAATATCACCTAAACTTTTCAATCAGGCTCTGGGCGATATCATCCGCGTATCTTAAGTTGCTCATTAAGATACGCGGATGATATCGCCCTAATAACTGATAATAAAGAAGAACTGACGGAAATGCTGGAAGAACTTAACACAGCAGCTCAAAACATAGGTCTCAATATGAACTGCGCTAAAACTAAAACAATAACGAACACAGACGAAGACATGACAATCAGAATAGAACAAGAAAAAATAGAACAAGTCGATGAATATATATATATATCTAGGATAGATTATTAAACTCAACAAAGAAAACCAAACAGCAGAAATCAAGAGACGAGTTAGATTGGCTTGGGCAGCATTCGGCAAATTAAGCTACATCTTGAAAAATAGAAATTATCCACAATACCTCAAAACCAGAGTGTTTAATCAATGTATACTTCCTGTCCTCACCTATGAATCCCAAACATGGACACTTACAAAGTCAAACATGGATAAAATAACAAAAGCACAAAGATCAATGGAAAGACAAATGTTACATGTGAAACTGATAGATAAAAAGAAGAACGGGTGGATAAGAAATAAAACGAGAGTAAGAGATGTTAGAAAGGAGGTAGCAAAATTAAAATGGAAATTCGCAGGACACAATATCAGACAAAAAGACGACCGATGGAAAAAATGTATTTTAAGTTGGAGACCTTGGGAGAATAAAAGAAGTAGAGGAAGACCCCAGATGAGGTATGCTGATGACCTGAAGAAGCACGCTGTAACCAGGTGGATGACCATGGCAACAGACAGAGAGGAATGGAGAAGACTGGGGGAGGCCTACGTCCAAAGATGAACTGAAGAAGGCTGAATAGATAGATAGATAGTCAGTAAACATCCAGGCGAAGACTACATCCATGAGATTTAGGTTGAGCAAACAGCAAGAAGACTACGCAATCAGGTACGGAGGCGCACTGAAGACTAAGTGTCAAGAAAGCCAGTGGCTGAGATAAAGTCTCCAATAACGATTGAACGGATATCAAGGAATGCCGTGTTGGCCTTAACCAATATCGTCAATTACAGTGTCAACATGTAATTGACGATATCGCAATACTAGAAGCTCGACTAGAAGCTTCCGGAAGTAGTCATGCTCATCAGCTCTCTGCCGTTTCTGGGCGAATTGTCTCAAGAAATATTCCTCAATTTCAGGATTATACAGGAAATTGAAGACCTAGAGTTGATTTCGGAAGAGCAATTCGGATTTCGAGCAGGACATTCGACGGAGTTTCAGGCGCTCAGCATACTCGAGTACTAACGAATTTAACTGGAAGAAGACAACTGGACTATCAAACAAAGGCTAACAAGCTAAGGTCAGAAAAAACTGACAGGTAGAAACTTGGCCTTGATGATTGATTGGCAAACACCGTTCCAGGACAGAAGTGCTCGCCCCACACTTGCGCCTACAATAATGACATTCCGCAGCAATGTCACGAAGATTGCACTGTACGCATCTGATTGCATAAAGAAAAATATGCCAGAATTAAACTCGAGGAAGAAATGGATCTGACTTTGGAATGGTGCATCAACTGAAAGATCAAGATCAATCAAACGAAGAGAAATTGAATGCGAAGAGGTACATTCAATTTAATCTTTGCAATTTCAAGTGGTAATTCATAATGCCTGATTTTTTGAAGTTGAAGTATCTCAATAATTATCATCGTTGAAGTATAAATATTTCGAGGGTTGTGTTTTGCCTTTACATTCCGAAAATAATATGTATAAGGTATATGGAGTTTGAAATAGTTGTTCCCAAGATGAAATGTAGCCAAGAACCAAGTAATCCTTTCTCAGAAGACAAAGTCAAAGACTGGTCAACGAACCAAAAGTATTGTTTTGTTGTTTTAATCAAAAGATGAAAAGTCTCTAACATAAAAGTACTCCGATGAAAGAGAATTGTAGGTACTAAATATACAAAAAACAGAGGACATAGATCGCGACCCTCATGGAGTCCAGAGGAAACTATGAAAAATGCACCAAAACAAAAATAAAACCATAAACGAGTTTTTCCAGGTGAAAAAATTATCATAAAACGATTGGAAATGATTCTGGAAACTTATTCAATAACACTGAGAATGCATAATCTCAATTGGATGAAATAAATGAAGAAATAGCAAAAGGAAGGAGTACCTAACAGTAACGGAACAAATTAGGCTGAAAAAAAAAATACGGTGGTGGAAAACCAGCAAAGAAGTTAACAACGCTCTTTAGCAATATAGCAAAACTATCGGTATCAATTTTTCTGAAAAAGACAAAAAGCCAACCAAGGAAACTATAGAGGAATAACTCTGCTCTGCACCAAAATGAAACTTTTCAGCAGTATAATCAATATTAATCGCGAACAAAACATACAAAACGAGGATCAACAATTTTGTGTGTCCTATCGAATAAAAAAGCGTTCGCGACAGATATCTTGAATATATTTGAAAAATTACCATCCATCATAAACGTAATTAGTAACCTGAACACAGGAGTAATATCAGGTGCGGATTTACAAATCTTGTGGGTAGACCAGAGGTGACATAAATAAAACAAAGTCTATATCTTTATGAAAAGTCGTCACAGAGAATAGTTTTACGGAGAGACGTATAGATGGTGGAGGAAGGAAAGGAAGCAGCATGCATGGTGGAGGAAGGAATCATGAGTACCTGATCGATGAACCATGCTGAAAGATGGAAAAATGGTTGAAGCTCTATCTCCCAGGAAAATCAAAAAAAATCATAACATAAGTTGAGAAGTAAGAAGCAAAGTTTCTATAGCAGCTCTGAGATATTCAATTTGGAATCATCATCTTTCTTTAAAATGTATTCACTATTAGAAAAAAATATATAATCATGCAAAAATCTCAACGGGTGACAGCCTATCTAAAATCCAAAAACCCGTTTCCGACTTCTGTATAAATTTGATATTCAAATATTATCACTCAAGAAGACTTACCGATATTTTTCCGATATCAAAACATTCTTATGTCCAAAAATTCACAAAAACGACAAAAAATTGCACTAATTTAATTAACCAAAACATACTTATTAGCACTACGGAAAACTTTAACTTTCCTAAGCCTGTGAAAGATTTTTCTAACCACCCTAGCAACACATTGCCGCGGCGACATTTTTTTCTGAATAATTTCCTGAAATAGAAAGCGATCAAGTTAGAAGGGCATAAATAGAGAATTAAGAGGCATAGCAGTGGTCGCGCTTATAGAGCAGGCACGACTAACTAGAAAATTCCTCAATTCAACTCCGATTTCCGATATTATTATGGATGCTTCAGTTCTAACAAAATAACTGCAAAACTGTTACTCTCGATCACGTCGCTTCCTTTCTAAATCGTAGGGGTTCGCAATTCAATTTTTGAGGGTAACAGGGATGGAAGAGTATGCCGTTTAGCGCTGAAAGCATGCGCCTGTATTGATTCTTGAGGTGGAGGAACGGAACAGGACTAGGCGTCAGGACGTGAGGATTTTTGCATTTCCTTATGAGCGGTTAAAAAAATGTATTTCCTCAACAATCGTAGGTATTCTAATTATTATGGAAAAAAAATCCCAGAAAATTTGCAAGATCGCGCTTTCCATCTCAAACATTATGCTGTGATAAATTAAACTCGTCACTCTCCTTTGAGAATTTATTTTTCCTTCTATCATCATAATTCTTCATCAGCTGTAGTAAAAGTCCTATTTTCTATCCCTTTTTTTTCGTCACTTTTCTCCCTTTCTGTGTCTATTTTCACTATGGCCCATGGCTGCAGTTCTCCAGATGCAAATGTACCGTATACAACCGCCCCAAACAAATAAATACCCGCAGATAAATAAAATACTATTTGCCATTCGGATATTTGCTAAAAAAATAAATAAAATGTCTAGAATTTATAAACTAAAAAAGATACTTACTGGTGGCTTTGACACAATAAACCCAGACAAAATTGGACTTATTATTCCTGGCAAAGTAGCTATAGTATTTCCTAGACCCATCAGTACGCTGGCGTACTGAGGAGCGATGTCCAGATGATTTACACTGAAAGATCATTTATATAAAAGTTCCTTACTTGAAAAAAATTACATTCTTACCTGAAACCAGCCCAAGCGAAAGCTCCTAATCCAACAGCCAGAGTCAAACAGAAAACAGTTCCGATTTTATCTGACCAAAAGGCAGCTCCCATCATGAAAATAGTTTGAGCTATGAAACCGCTGCAATTGAATATTTTCCTCACTTGTGTGGTAGTCAGTATACCTTTTACTCGAAACCAATCAGCCCATTGGCCGGAAAACTGCATCATTATTGCCATTACCAAGTAAGGTAGTCCTGAGAGGAAGCCCGATTTTCCTAAATCGTAGTCGTGAATATCTGAAAAACATTTGTGAATTATTTATGAATCCAACATTCATAAACAATGTTACCTTTTAGATATTTAGGCAATTGAGTCAACAGAGTATAAAATCCCCAATTCTCACTAAAATGCGATATCACTATAGCCCATACAGGAGCTGACATCAAAATTTTTTTCCAAGGAATACTCAAAGTACCATCACTCTTACTGCTTTCCAAAGAACTCAAAATATAATCCAATTCATTTTTGGAAATTTTCTTGTCTGATTCGGGTGAATCTGCTACTATCATTGTCCATAAGACATACCATATCAAACCAATAATACCAAAAACATAAAAAATACTTGGCCAACCAAATGCTTCGGCCAAATAAGCGCAAGCTGGCATAGCTACTACAGTTCCAGCGTAGCTGCCTGAGAAAGCTATGGTAGCTAATCTGCTTCGTTCTAAAGGTGGTGCCCATTTTGCCCAAACGGCGTGTATGCAAGGATAAGTGACACCCTCGAAAATGCCTTCAATAATTCTTACAGATAATAGAAGATAAACGTTTGTCTTAGCTAACACAGGAGTTATCACAGTCAACGCGGCTGTAACGGCCACACCAGATCCAAAAATGGTTTTGCCCCCAAACTTTGCTGATAAATATCCTCCTAAGAGTTGGGTGGTGATGTATCCGTAGAAAAAGGAACTCAGAATGTAACCTTGCATTTCGTTGTTCCAATCAAACTCGGGACCCAGCGATATCTTGGTTCCATTTTCTGAAATTTCGTATCGTTCTTGAGTCATTGCCACTATGGCTATGCTTAGATTCACTCGAAGACAATAGACGTTAAAAAATCCAAAAAATGCCAGAGTCGCCACGACGTATCTCCGTTTTTTCCAAAATTTCCATGTAGGGTGATCCAGTTCGATATTTCTGGAATGAGAAAACTGAAATTATATTACGTATCGCCATCTATGAACTAGAATATAAACGAGAGGCGCAATGAAAAATGTCGGTAATAAGCGAATTTGTTTTAATATTTTCAAGAAATTTGGTAGAATTATAATGTAAAATAAACCTGTAAATATTACCTATCTTTTTAAAACGTCGAAAGGGGTAGTTTCTATGTTGTGGTTCTATAATTATTCATTATACACCCTGATTTGCGTAGCCTGTGCATAAGAAGGTTCTCAATTTGCAGTATTAGTATTATTATTATGTAATACACCTGCAAGATAATGCACGGGCAACAAAATTCACCTTGTATACCTACATAATTTTATCTGAACAAAGCTTTTTTAATACCTTCCTGAATGCTAAAATTGGAATTCTTGATAGCCTGATCGCAATACCTGTTTCAATAAGTTTTCTTTTCATTGCACGTATGTACAGTGTGGTCATTTTATCTTGATAACATTTCAACCTGTCATAATCTCTTTATTTTTGAAGTTATTTAAATAAATAAAAAAACATACTGTAGGGTTGGTTTCCAAGTTTCAGATAGGGTAGACAAAAAACAAAAGACTAATATATTTTGACAGTTATGGACACAAATAACATTTTTTTCAATGGAATACCCAGTAAATTTTTGAATTGTTTAATAATAATATGTTCCATTCTGATTGTAATATATACAATACAATATACTTGAATACAATTTACTCTATATTTACATTCAGAAGTGTTTTATTTATTCTAATGGAAAATTCTGCCTACCTACCTACCTTTGCAGGTAATCTGTGTAGGTAATCAATATTTTCAGTTAGAATGAATAAAACACTTCTGCATGTAAATATAAAGCAAATTATATTCAATTGTATTGTATTGTATATATTGCAATTAGAATGAAACATATTATCAAACAAACTACAAAAATACTGGGTGTTCTATTTAAAAAAGGCTATGTGTGTGCATAACTGTCAAAATATATTAGTCTTTCGTTTTTTGTCCACCCTACCTGAAACTTGGAAACCAACCCTACAGTATGTTTTTTTATTTATTTAAATAACTTTAAAAATAAAAAAAATTATGACAATTTAAAATGTTATCAAGAAAAAATGACCACACTGTACAATCACCTACACCTTGGCTATAAACTTACCTATAGCTAATAAATGAAAGCCGGTAAAAATAGTAGTATAGGTACAAACAAGTACAAATGAGTATTTTCCTCGGGATAGTGGGATGGGTTTTTTCTGTTTCGTGTTAACATAGGCAAACTTTGACTTAAGACTATATAGGTATTTTATATTTAACTCAAAAAGGACAGAGTTCAATAACTCAAAGCTGTTCCATAAGCTATATAAATTATTTTTGGAAAAACAAAACAAGATTGCACTCAAATCTTAGATTACTCAAATCATTTGATTTTAGTATTATTTTTTTTCAAATAGGTATGTCTTACCCAAAATTTCCGTCATTTATCCCATACGACCTTGGACACTTTCTTTGATCAGCAAGAACCATTTTGTTAGACCGAGCACTATGGTACCACAAAAATAATAATTAAATATGCGCGACTATAGAAAATAATTCAAAGGAATTTTTTTAATAGCGGCAAACACCTGAATACCATTGTTGAAGGCGTGGGACAAATACTGCATGGGTTTCATGTAATAATAATGAACTAATAAAAATTTAATGGTATTGCCTTGCTAGGTTATCACCATCTACATAGGTACACACTTGGCACGGATTTAAGATTATTGAATACTACCGCATATCGACTTGGTACTACCTACTTTCCATTTGTTTTAGTTCAAGGGTATTATTGGTTGATCGAAAATTTGGCGTAAGTCTCTACAAAAAATTATAGGGTATCTCACATTTCAGAAAAAAAAAATGTTACCATTGTGTGTGTTTTTTTTTTAATGCGACATTACCAAGTAGGTTTGAATCTTGAAAGTGACAAATAAATTACATGCACTGAGTGAGATATCTATCTTCGAGTGTTCAATCTTCAGGCAATTTCTATGAAACGAGAAAAACCTCTCCGTCTTTTAAAAAGAAAAAAATGTGATTGAAATGTTTGATCGAGTTAACCTTGTCACGTATATTTTATTATGTTACAGTACAGGGAAAACATTTTTTTTTTCTCAAACGTCACTAAAAGTGTTATTTTTAACGGATGCTGTCAGTGTCTAAAATGTCATTTTATGACACTGGTTTAAAAGTGATTACTTTTAGCACTGAGTGCTAAAAGTAATCACTTTTAGTGCGTTTGTAGAAAAAATAGTGGATGATATTCGTGCTAAAAGTGATTTTATTTCTTTTATTTATCTCTCAAACTTCCGTTTTCACAAAATTAAATGTCACTTTCAGCACTTATATCATAAATAACTATTTTACAAAAATCTTTTCACAAGCGTGTTGCAGAGAAGTGACATGGGGTCATAGCTAGAAGGCTTGGGTGACGGAGAAAAACTTGCTCAAGTATCTGAAAAAAAAAGGCAGATATGTTCCAAACCTACATAGATCTAAAGATGCATCTGTCCTTAAAAAGGTTCTTTAGTAAAGGTATCTACTGAGTACTGATACTGGGAAGACTTAACCATTGGGATATAGGAAACGGTAAGAGATACAGGTTTGGTTAAAGTGGGGCAAAGTTGCGCAATTTCTCACTCAACAAAACGCTAATTTGTAATTTGGAATATATCGAATACTTCCGGAGATAGGTATACCTACAAAAAAAAAGAAACAAAATTTTGCAAAATCATTTTAACTGCTCCTTCCTTGGAGTCTGGTGTAAAAATGTTTGGCTCTATCCAATGCTTGAGTCTGGTCGAAACGAATGACATGGTTTGTTTGTGTGAGCAAGTGTTCGGCGATTGCTGATTTATCTTTTTGTCCCTGCTGACAGTTTCTTCTGTGCTATTTGACCCTGGGATTGGTAGAGCGTTTGGTTGTTCCCAGTGGCGGCTGGCCCTAAGGGGCCAAGGGGCCGTGGCACTGGCGCAAAATATGTCGGTCCTTTTAGAATTTTTTTTTTTTTTTTTTAGTTCAATAGTTATTACAATCGTCAGATCAAATTACCTAACCTTTTTTTAATTTGATCCCGACGAAAAAAATTCTGTCGTTATTATTCCTAAATTTCCTAGACAATAATTTAAGCGACTGAAACTAAACTCGGATAGTCCAGATCCGTCCGAGCCCATCTCACAATGGCCCCGCTGCAACACGGCAATTACGTTGGAGAAGGTCACGCCGCGCTCCCAGTAACCAGCTGTATACGTATAAACGGGGCCACCTGATCAAACGGCCCGGATCACAGCCTCCTATACTTAACAAGCCATGAAGTTGGAAATGACGGCAACGTCGCGTATGGTGCTATTTTGTTATTGGGTTATGTGTTTCTGTGTATTGCTTTCATTGTGTATTGTTGCAGTTTAGTATTTTTGTGGGCATTATTGACGAAAAAGTGGATAGAAACACACCAATATATTGCCCATATTTAGTTGATACCTGTTCCTTTGTGCTTTGATTGCAAATTTTTAGCAAATGGGGTACAGGAGCAAAAATGAAGGTAAGGTAAGGTTTAACAATAAAAACAATATCAATATTTCTCTGCAAGAGCATAGGTCTCTTTCGAAAATCAGCTCAAGTATTTGAATGGACCTGCCTTCCGAAAAAATCCCGAAGAAAGAAAAAGTTAGATTTTCAAAAGACATACTGAAACATAGGCCTATAACACTTTAGACTCTAGAAATATATTCATTTAAATCAATTATTTGCCGTTGTTCTTAATTTATACAAATAGTTATATTATTCATTGAATTACTGTTTTTGGCCCTTTAGTACAATGAATTATGCATTTTTTGTGATTCATATTAATAAAATAAAAAAATATATATTTATAAAAACAAACACCACCAGCACCACTTGGCGGTAAGATTGCGGTGTTGCCTTTTTAACTTCATGGCTTGTTAAATGTAGGAGGCTGTGCCCGGATTAGTTTTTGCGGCAATTTAATTTGAGAGTCGATTCGCGGACATTGTTCGTATTTTTTAGCAGCGTCGCGGCATCTTTGTTGTCGGCATATTTCTTTGAAGCGCTGGTCGCTTGCCGCACCGCACAGAAGTCAGTTTGGCCTGGAAAGACAGTGCAGTAGATATTTTTGAAGTGAAAACTTTTTTAGAATCGTTGGGAGTGATTTGAGACTCGATGAAACGAAAAAGCGACACTTTTTTACCATGCTTATAGTAACACACAACACACAACAAGAACCTGGTACAAGCCAAGTGAGCTGGAACAAGTCTGAAAAATGTCTGGATAAATCTGGATGAAGTCTGGAAAAGTCTGGAAATCTCTGGAAACGTCTGGAAAGAGCCTGGAAATTTCTGGAAAGGGTCGAAAAAATTCTGTCAAAGGTCCCAAAAGACCTGGGGATTATTTTCCAGAATCCGGATCAGTCTGAACAAGTCTAGATAAAGTCTGGATTAATCTGGATGAAGTCTGGAAAACTCTGGAAAGCTCTGGATATCAAATATAAAAAATTTCCACTAAACCAGATCCTACTGGAAGGGTCCCAAGCACTGACGCTGCATTTCCCCTTTGTACTGCTAGACTAATTTTTTGGGTAATGAAGCTAAATGCCTTTTTATGATTGATTTTCTGACAAATTTGTTTAATTAATCTTTTAGCTTCATTACCCCAAGGTCCGAAAGTTTTCACAGCAAAAGGAACAAAAAGAAAACCTCGGTCCTGCAGTTCTTTATATTTGAGCATTTTTTGGGATTCATCAATTCTTGCTGCTTCGCCAGCCTTAATCGATGTCTTTGAAACGTAAGATTGACACAAAGTATCTCGGCATGTGGCATCCCAAAGTAATGCTTTACCACTCCTCCAAGGCAACAGAGACATTCCATCCACACGTTTGCCATCACTTCTACATATACCAGGTGGCTCTAGTATGGAAGAAATATCTGCTGATGCTAACGAGCGCTTTATTATATCATTGATCAACCTGTGACGGGTCACCCGACCTGCACTTTTTTGCAACACAGGGCATGAAGCCCAAATTTATCAACTTGGTTGTTGCAAGTGCAGATGTGTGGCATGCACACTTTCCTCTTCCTGCAAAGCAATAATCCTAGCTCTTTCAACACCACTATTAGAATTTGAAATGATTTTAGCAATTGAAAGTTCACAAAATTCGAAATCAAAATCTTTTTGACATTTAAATTTAGTAAAGTCCGAAATATTTGTGATTATTTTGAATTGCCTCATTCTTTGCCGAATCTGTAGAAGACAAAATTTGATTTGGAAGGATATGAGGTAATACAGGAGAAACATTGGTCAAAGACCCCAAAAAAGTAGAAAAACACAACGAAGAAGTATCTCGAATGCCTAAGCCCCCCAACATCACTGGTAAACTAGAAAGAGCCCAAGCATTGTCATTTAAAGTGCAATTTGTAATAGATTCTAAAGAATACTTTAAAATCAAATTAAATTTTTTCAGAGTATCAGGTACTCTCCAGCAAGGAGCACAGCGCAGAAGATATGTAATTCTCGGAAGCGAAAATGAGTGTTTTAGAAGATAGTAAGCAATATGTGAATTTATCTTGGTGAGTTTTTCTGAAATGTTTTTGAAAATTTCAATTTTAGTATTTAAAACTATTTCAGTTTCGGCGGGAGAAAAAGGGCAGCCTAGAAGATTAATTTCTTTAATATTAATGTTTTCTAGGTTCTTTATAATTGGTTCAAATTCTAAAGGAATTTGGTTATCTTTAAAGTTTTCTATGATTGAAAATTCGCATTTACTAAAATTAATTTCAAGTCCAATATCAGAGCATGATTTTGTCAAAACTTCTAAATCGGAGAAAACTGTATCTGGGTCGCCAGCTAAAATTCCATCATCCAGGAACCATAAATTAAGTTCCGATTTAAGTTTTGCAACTATGGAATGCAGTGACAAACAAAATAATGGTGAACCTAAGGGATTGATGAGGGCAGGGTGCCCAATTTTGTCGCAACCTTGAAGAATAGGTACCTTCTCGGTATTGCGCTGCTTGGCGGTGCTGCTACGGGATATCAGCGATGATATCCTTGAATGGAAACACTTGGACCAATGCTACGTCTAGTGTTTATTAATTGAATAGACCCAGCTCTGAGTGATTGATCTATGTAGGTATTTTTATACAAATAAAAAATCGTGACTAACTTTTTTAAAACTTGAATGACAACTCTATCAACAACGGGTTGTTATGCATTATTTTTCCGATTGTTTCTCATTCTGCCTACTCAATTTGATAAAGGCTGTTTATTATTAAAAAAAATGCAAACATACCGCCGCCCTTGAAAGTATCCAACTGAATGCTTTCAATATCATTAACATTAAAGATAGGTATACAATAAAACGGGAAAAGTTAATTATAAAATTTGCAGATACTGGGTAAATTGAGTTGTATATAAAAATATAAATGGTAAAAAGATAATTAAAAAACAAGAAAATCAATCATTTAAATCGTCCTTCGGAAGTAAACATATTTTCACAATGGCTCGTTTAGTGACGCCGTTTTTTGTTAGAACACTAACTACTCTCACTACACCGTCACTACCAGGATGAAGGTCCACTATACGCCCTCGATGCCATTGCAATGAAGGCAGACCATCTTCTTTTAGGAGCACTAGAGAACCTAGCAGGTCATTTTGATGGTGATGAAACTTCCATTTGTTCCGCTGGTGCAATGTGTGTAGATAGTCTGTTGACCAC